ATTATATAGATCTATTATTAATGATTAATGCCCTCAGCCCTGAGCCAGTTCGAGTAGCAAAAATAAAAGGCAACAAAACAAAACAAACAACTGAAGAATGAAGTTGTTATTTCGGAGAAAAAAAAATCAGCGGCTTATTCACGATGATAAGGTAAATCTAATTTTTTCCTTTCCAATCAGGTGTTACGTAAAGCTGGACGAAGTCGAACCTGAGCCGGGACTGTGACGTCTTTGTTTTGACTTTGACAAGTCAGCAGACAAGTCATGGAACTGATCACTAAGCCAGCCGTGCCCTCATTTCAAGTTACAAATAGAAATAAAATTTTAAAAAGTACTTAATTGCGACCAGAAAATCAAGTCACGAATCAAGTGCATGATTATGCACCCTTCAATATAAAAATAAAGTAAATCAACTCCTCCGATAAAATGTAAACACCACAGTTCAAATCAATCAACACCCGACATACCTTCCCATGTAAGCTGCCATCTTGAAAACTATACAGAAGGGGCACTACTCTCAATTTCTACCATTTTCATTTTCTTGGAATTGCTTCCCATTGGATGTATTTCGGCCTAGCCTATTGTAATCATGACGTAATGGAATCAAGACCAACCACGAGAGTGTCTCCACTTGGTACAAAATGGTTCTCTAGGCTATATTATAGTCTAGATTAATACACATTATATTGTAATAACATAATTCAAATATTATTGTTTTAGTTCTGCAGGATACTGGAGAATGCGAAATATAATTTCATGGCCAAAGATAATAATGGTCAGCAAGGAGCTTAGAGCATGATCAGGCAGAATACCACACTGTTGATACAGATGATTCGTATTTGTGGTACTTTTATTACGCTTCATATTATACTTCTCTGAGATTTTATTGAAAGGTTTTGAGAAAGACTAGAGTATGGTCCACGTCGCCTATATTATTCTCTTCCAATAATTAATACTTCGACTTTTTTCTTTTCAAAAGTCGTACAAACAGCTTAATTGTCTCCTTTATTTCCACATTTAGAAGTTTGCTCAGGGGAAATCTCTCTCCCCCCC